CATGATTACACTACTGAATTTCTTTGTGAATACTATGTTGTCTTTCAGTAAAAAAATTCCAAAGGTACTCCAATTGTATTGAATAAAACTTTCATAAAATTAATTAAGAACTGCTCTTAGTTACAGCATAGTCGGAAAATGCCGAAGCTTTGGGCATGTATTCTGTTTCGATATAGGACTCCTCAATAGTGAGTATTTACTACGCTTAAACCGGTGATTGAACATAAGAACTTCGGTCCACTCTCGAACCCCTAACCTTTAGATCATTGAGCGAGAGTTCAGTGGTACAAATATCTAACTTCAATCTATTGATAACATTGCTCGATAATCTTCATTGTCTGGGATGAAGTACTAATGAACTCTATGGCGAGACTATAATTTATGGACGAACCAATCAGGTATAACAGGTCTCGAATTTTGGCGCGACATTCACTCATTCATTTGGCTAAACAGAGTTTTGGCATTATATCTGATGTCGTTTCGTGATGAAAACCCTAAATCTAATTCCTAACCGTAGCCATCAATTGTAAAACATAATTCTAATTCATCACGTTGGTTTATAATCCTCTTTTGGTCCTAGTTATAAGGTGGACACTCTCAAGGTCATTTTGGCGTCGCTCAATGGTCATCCACAAATTATAGTCTCACTGAACTCTACTAGTCAGGGCTTTTCACTTATAGTCCCGGAATTGTATTTAAAAGTTAAACGCCAGAAATCACAGGATTACTGTTAGTGTAGGAGTTTTATGCAGATTGGTAAATTTTTCACGAATTAATTGAGGTTAGATATGTACACCATTGAATTCCAAGTTAGCTCTCTAGAGGTCACGTGTAGGCTCAATCCATGGTTGTGAGATAGTAAATGCACACTATTGGCAAGTCCTATATCAAGAGAGAACAGTTGTTCAGAGCGTCTGCATTTTCCAAGAGTGATCAAACTAATATCAGTTTGTTATTTAATTCTCAAAACAAAGAACTATATTCATAAATTAAACACAATTATGTACTGGATGAGCCATAAATGATATACACTTAACATTTATTAGTCATAAAGTAAATAAACAAACAATCACTTCTATATAAAGTAAGTATTTAACGAAATTACTAATTTAAGTAATCAACTAACCATAAATCATGTTGACAATTCAATTCAATGTTCTATATTTATCATTTTTCATCATAAACTACAAATCTCCATTACTATTTCAATGTTTACCACACACTATTTCACTTCATAAAAAATAAAAAATCTACAATATAATACTAATAATTCAGTTTCTACATTATATATTGTTACTAAATAAGAACATTCTATATTCTTTAGATTTATTTGACTTAACTATTACATAATCAGATGGGTTTTGTGGAGATTGTAGTAATTTCAATGGTTAAGATCATGAGTCAATTAAAGCTAAACCACCATGGAAAATCTGGAAGCACTGGATGGCCGTTTTGTTTTATTGTGGGACTCAGCAGTGCGCTGTCGTTCAGTGCTTCCAGGTTTTTCATGGTGATCTAGCTTCAACTGACTCATGATCTTAACCATTGATATTAGATAATCATTTATATTCCATAACAATCAATAAAAATTATTTGTAATGTATATATTCTAATAGATATAATAAAATAAAATTAGGTTCAATCAACTAATTATTCATCGTTGAATAAATTATGGGGCGTTCACATAATTGATTCCAAATCCAATTAGTTTTAAAAGTGATAAAATTTTAATAGATTCTATTCAAACAACTTTGTTTTAAAAATAATTGTCTCCTTTAGCTCATGAAATATTTAAAGATTCAATTATATACATATATATATATAGAGAGATATGTAACTTTTAAAAAACTACTAATTTATGTAAGTAGTATATAAACTGGGATATTCCATTCAAAAAAATTTATTTCACTGTGACCAATACAAACAAATCAATCGATTTATCGATTGACTATATTTAAATTAATGTATCTATGTGCTTAGTTTCCAATGATATTTATGCACAGTAATTACGAATAAATAAATCACTAACAGATAAACAATATCTATTAGTAAATGGTCATTTAAATATGATATAATAAAAAATATATAAATTAATGTCAAACCCTGTATATATAACTAACATTTTTGTGTTTTGATTATAACTGAAAGATTATAGTATCTGTATATTTTTATGACCTGGCTAATTATCAAAGTATATCTTCGACAGAACATACAGAATTCATAAAAGATATCAAACATGATAATTAATAAATAAATATAGAAGTTGAATTCATGAGGTAATGTGAGCCAGACCACCAACTGAAACTTGAAAGCACTGGAAGGCCGTTTCGTTCTAACATGGGACTACTCAACAGTGCGCGTCCACGATCCCGTCCGCCATAACCAGTGGAGTTCAATCCGTGTCGGTTATGGATAGATATCTACCTCAGACAATGGATGAATGCTTTCGCAGCCATTCATGGATCGATAGAAGTTAGACATTAGCACCGTTGGATGCCGGCTCATTGGCCTAGTGGTTAACCGTTCGAGAGCTAGACCGAAGTTCCTGGGTTCGAATAAAAAATGATGCGCACTGCTGACAAGTCCCATACTAGAACGAAACGGCTGTTCACTGCTTCCTGGTTTTCAATAGTGGATTCGCTCAGATCGATCCATGAATTCAACCATTAAAATCAATACGATCTCCACAAACCCCATTCTGAAAAATATAGAACTATTTGGTAGGACTATCTGGTAGAACATCCATTTTACAAATCAAATATCTGGTCACAGAGCACTGTTGTTGCAAAGTAAATTGAAATGTAAATAAAATTGAAATGAAATGTGATAACCATCGACGAAGTACGTATATACTACCTCTTATAAATTTAAATTTATCAAAGGATATGGTTATATAAAATACTGCCTTAACTGTTATCGTTTAACAGTGTAGTTATCTAGCAACTTATCATAAAAGACTCTCAACATTACGAATGATTCAGATGTAAATGCTTTATTAACCGGTTTTTTAAACAAAATTTCGCAAAGCGCACTTCACGGCTAACATCGTGGTTTTGTTTGCTCACTTTAAACTATTATGCAACTGTACTGAACCCTACTTCACTTTAATACGAATTGAGGTCATATCTAAGAATTATGTATTTTAAAGTAGAAATTATATTTTGTGTTATCTTCTAATGTGTAAGGCTTGGAGAAAAGTGAAATGATTATTATTAATGTTTCACACAATATGACAAGTGAAGAAAAAGTTAGTTCTTGGTCTTTTAAAATCACAAACACCGAAAAAGTGTTTGGTTGTTTGATCAGTAAAATTCGAACATTTTATGATAAGTTATTTTAAGTTCTCAACTGATCTCGTTGATTAACTCCAGGCACCAGATTAACACTGTGCTTAAGTAAAGTGATCTTTTTTACTATTCGACATGTTCCCAAAAGTGAGCAGAAGGACGAAATATCTATTGTAGTTGTGAATTATTGTTGTGAACATACTGATACTTCCAGTTTTTTGACCGAAAGAAACGCCCGAACTAAATTTTTTATTGAGCTCATGAACCGATCAATGTTAGACCATTAATAAAAATCTGGAAGCACTGGACAGCCGTTTCATCCAAGTGTGTAGGACTCCTCAGCAGTGCGTACAGCTAACTTAAATTATTAAATATAGTTTGTAAAAAACTTTGATAGACAAATATGTCAGAACTTTAAAGATTATAATTTAGTTAATGAAAATGAAAGCAATGCAATAAGTCTCATTTAAACAATAAGTATCGTATAGAGTTCGAAACCAACAAAAATTAAAGGTCCACTGGCGCCTAAATTTCAACGATCCTCCAACTGATATCAGTTGAAATAACAATATAAATGCATTGTCATTAATGAAGAATAAACATGAATTAGCTACGAAAATATTCTTGTAGATAATTTCAATTAGTCAAGCTGTATAATCGTATCTTTCCTTAATTTAGTTGCTGTAAATAGTAAACTCTAGTTAAATAAAACAATAGTGAATAATAGAAAAGGAAGTGGTATCGTGTCATAAATTGTTAACAGATATTAATTGAACAGTTAATGAAAATTTTCAAATGAAGATAAATGAGTAAAAATATTAAGAATATAAGAATCGGATGCTGTAACGACGACTAGTTAATAATTATAAAAAGTAATTGGAAGATAGAAAGTAAGATTAAGACCACTGTAGAATGAAGGATTGTCAAAGGGGTTTGTGGAGATATTTTTTAGAAATTTTCACAAATTGAAATCATGAATCAGTTGAAGCTAGACCACCATTGAAAACCTGGAAGCACTGGATGGCCGTTTCGTCCTAGTACGGGACTCCTCAGCAGCGCGCATCCGCGATCCCGCACCACGCCGGGCTCGAACTCAGGACCTACTGGCTTCGCGTGCGAGCGCTTAACCATTAGACCACTGAGCCGGCATCCAACGGTGTTAATGTCTAACTTCAACCAGTGCTTCCAGGTTTTCAATGGTGGTCTAGCTTCAACTGACTCATGATTTCAATCTGTGAAAATGAAGGATTAGACAAACTCTTTTTGTACACAAAGTTTAGGCTTCAAATGGTAGATAACTAGAGCCTCTACTATACACAAATTATTAATTTGTGTTCATTTTGAACCGAATCTTTGAACTGTAAGGACCATTTACAAAGAGGATTCTCCTGATGCAGAGTGATCAAAAACTGTTGATCTCTCAATACTGTCAGAGTCAATTTTATTAGTGAATTTTTAAAATAATTTCAATACTACTGTAACGTTTAAGCAAATGAATTGACTGAAAAGAAATATTTCTTCGCTCAATAATCGTTGTTCTTCTCTGATGTTGTCAGATCTTAGAATAACTTTAAATGAACTTCTTAATGTCTGTTTTTTCCTAATATACATGTAAATTTTTCAAGCATGGTGAATACGGAGTTATATTTGAATAAATGTATAATATCTAATTCTCCTAATCTTTCTGAATTGATAACCTTATGCAAATTATAGAGATCACCAATAAATTCAATGTCGAATAAGGAAGCACTGATCAGATTATTTCATAAATTAGATGAAAGTGGTGATGGAATTATTTCATGTGATGAATTATATTCAGGATTGAGTAAAGCTGGGGTTTCCTCAGCTGTTATAAAGGTAAGTAACAGTTCGATCTGCATTGAAACATTTCATTTATCCACAAGTGTTTGAAAATTTAATGCCGAAAAATTATTTATCAACTTATATAAGAACTAAGGAGAAAGCCATTCGAATCATACAATTATTTGAATTATTTGTTCACTATATCACGTAATCTTTACTGAATTTAAAATGTTATTCACTCGACAGTTATCTAGTGAGTAACACATATTAAAACATTTAATTATCATGTGTATATAATATGTCTGTTAGTTTATGATAGTAAAAGAATGAATCACGAATGATTGTTCGAGTGAAACACTGAATGCTCTCGATATAAGCAGGTATATTTGAAACGGAAATTGTGACGGCTTCAACAGTACTCGTTTATTGGTTGTTGTTACTATCACACAATATCTCAAACCATTGGTTGTGAGGATAACATGAACATCAAATCAAGATGTCGGCATCTATTTATATGACTCAGTGCAGCAGTCAACGACATCACGAACTGATGTCATGTCTTCATTTGTCCAATCCACTATCTTTCACCTAACCTAGTCCGACGACAGACAACATCACTCACCGAGATGCATATTGATTAAGTATATGCAACACATGTCCAAACCAACTCACTCGATCACAATTCACCACTTCGTCAACCGATTCTCTATCTTCAGTCAGTGCATCATTCCACATTTCAGTATTGCTATTAAGGTGGTTCTATCAAACATGATCGATGTTTCGAAAACACACATTATCGAATAGTACTAGTCTAGGATTATCCCTTCTTCTCAACAGTCAGGTTCGACACCCATCAGGTAGAAAATCCTGAACTTTCACTCAGAAAACTCGTTTTCGGTTGACAACTCACCTATGGTACAAGTGATGCAAATAGCAAAAGCCAAACATAGACAATCCATTGAGTGGAACTCGTCACCATACATCAATGTCCTTTATTGTGAGAAACATTTGACAGTGTAAATAGGTAAATATTATTGGAAATGTCTTTGACACTATGGAGTATCTGAGATGATTGTCAACATCATAAGGAATTCATACAACGAACTACACTGCAAAGTCGTCCATGGAGGATAGCTGGCAGACGCATTCCACGTAAGGACCGAAGTCAGACAAGGCGGCTTACTGTCTCTTTCCCTTTCTCTTCCTCCTAGTGGTTGACTGGACTGTGAAGACCTTGATATCCGACGGAAAGCACTGAATACAATGGACAGCTCAGAATCAATTAGAAGGTTTTGACTTTGCAGATCACCTGGCCCTTCTCTCCCATACACACGAACAAATCAAGATGAAGACAACTAGTTTAACAGCAGCCTCTGCATCAGTAGGCCTCATTATGCACGAAGGAAAAAATAAGATCCTCAAATACAACACGGAAAACACCAGCTCAATCGCACTTGATAGAGAAACGCTGGAAGAGGTGGAAACATTTACGTTTCTGGGAAGCATCATTGATGAACAATGAGGATCAGGATCAGACGTAAATGGGAGGATTGGTAAAACAAGGGTACCATGCGTACAAATGATCATATGGATCTCAAAACAATTGTCAACCAATAAAGTCAGGATCTTCTATATGAACATCAAGACAGTTTTACTGTACGGAGCTTTCAGCTTTCAGAAAACGAATGGGGACAGTCGGATGCATTTACAGAGGTTCTCACTAAAAATCTGAGAACCATATAGTGAGTAGTTAATTTGCAAAATATCAATCCATTGTCTCAAACTTCACTGTTCCTTTTTGAAATATCAGTCTATTGTCTAAGATTTCATTGTTCATGCATTTTCATACCAACTGCGTTCCGTTTTCGTTCTTTCCTTATCAATCTTCTACTAAAATACATTCTATGCCTGACCACCGTAACATACTACTTATGTGAATATAAGTAACCCGTACCACACTACTACAATCATCACCAAAATGTTGCAGGTATTTATAAACAATTGTCTATACAAGATACTCAATGTTGGCCGGATACCATCAGCAACGGCCTTCTTTGGGAGAGGACAAACCAGCTTCTCTCTGAAGAGGAAATACGGAAAAGACGTCGGAAGTGGATAGAACATACATTCAATTACCAAACTGCATCACGAAGGAAGTTCTAGATTGGAATCCTGGAGTGAAGAGGAAAAGTGGAAGGCCAAAGAATACACTGCGTCGAGAATCGGGAGAAGACAAGAATAGGGGGAATGGCAACTGGAAAGGATTACCCAGGAAAGAGTTGGATCCAGAGTGCTGGTGAGCGGTCTATGCTCCTCTACTAGGAGTAAAAAGCCTAAGTAAGTAATTAGGTAAACTATAATAGTTAACATAGGTGTCCATAGGGATACAAGAAATAGTGGGTCGGCAGAAATATTAAAAGCTGATGGGGTGATTGGATGATGAACGAGGAGATCACTTATAGTAATAGAGTTATGAGTATAGCTTCGAAATATGGTGATATATGATGTTTTCATGTTCGACGTTTTCTAGCCATTTTATTCAGCTGTGAGAAGACAACATTGTTACAGATAGCAATTAACTGAGGAAAACACCTTACTGTTATCACAACCCAGTACAGTCAGCAATGAGACTTTTGACTCAAAATATTAGTTGCTGGTTTTCGTCTTATTATTCTCCAAACAACTTCCCTGGGATGATAGAACCGAAAGGAACAAATGTTTCAGTTAATCTGCCTCAACTGAATCATTATGGTATGCAAGTGCTACATTTTTTGACAAGGTAGCAGATATGATCGGGTAACATCTATGCGTTAGACTTTATAGGTCGATGTATTTAGCGGCACATTCGGTCCACACATAAGCTGTTTTTCGAATTCGGAAGTATTCTTTTATGATTAGTCAAAACATATAAGAATCAGAAAGAGAGAAATCTAGCACAATTTAGGAGCATTTCCCACGGATTTCTGTAAAGCTTCTTCATAAAGGTGAGTGATTGCTAAACTTCTCTTCACGTTCATTGTGAATAAAAAGTACAACAAACCTGGATAAGGTTATCAGAAAATCACATCAGTGTATCAATAAAGTTTTCCTGGTTGTTTTATTGATTAGCGACAAAAATCTAAAATAGATCATTACAAGCTGTTGTCTATAACCCTAAAGTATCTCGTGTAGTGACTGAAACATGTCGTTCCCATTCAAAGAAAATATCTTCTCCAGCAGACCTTAGGAAACCATAGAGTACTGAGCACCATTTTACCTCGCTCTGAGAACTTTTCTAGTATTTATATGAGATCGTTAGTCAGTTAAAAACTAAGTCCTTCGTGATTCAAGGCGATAACACTGTCTTCGATTCTCCTCCTCTAAGGCTACACATTTTGTCAAATTTTGGTGGGTATATTAGAAAACAATGATACAGTGTTCACGATCAGGACAAAACAAATTTCCAATTCTACTGCTCTTTAATGGCTCGACCACTATAAGAGCCATATTTGAGGATATATTTCTATTTTAAGGCGACGTATACTGTTGCAAACATTGAAATGAATTGTAATAACCATTATCAGTACAGATTTACATTTATTTTGCTGTTGTAGAAAATAATGGATCGTTTGGATCTAAACGGTGATGGAAAAGTTACATTTTCGGAATATGAAATAGCGATTGGAATCAATAATAACTAAAGATGGAACTGTGTCTTACTGATTTCATGTATCACCTAAATAAAAATAGATATATACGAAAATGTTTTTAATGTTGTTCATTGTATTATCTCGTTCATGAATTGTATGACATTGTCCTTATTTATTCCAGCAGAAGGTCTGTCATTCATCTGCATGGTTACAAAAGAAAACATCTTTATACTAGCAGATAGATTTTTTAGCAAATAAAACATAAACCACTACATACGTGTTTTCAGTAGCTGGTTAAACTAACTGGTGAGATGCACTTATATACTTATATTTTTATATTTTATAAATGCCACATAAACTAGTTATTTACTAAAGAATAAATAAAACAAACGACCTAACCACTTAATGATCGTTAAAGTTTTTAGATCAGTTTCTCAAATTATATAAGATGTACCATTGACACATTATCCTTCTTAATTAATAGCACATAAGACACAAAAATGATTTGGATGCATCTGAATGCAAGTTTTTAGGAAGCACCATACCTTAGCTTAAGATTTCTTGACAATAGTTTATAACAAAACTATTACATAACACAACAAAAGCTAGGAAGACAACCCATCACAAACAAGGCCATTAGAATGAATTAGCACAATAATTTTAAACTAACAGAAAAGATCACTTGAACGCAAAAATGGAGCTGACACACAACTGTCTATAACAGCAGTGAAAACATGGCAATTCAACTATCTAACACAGTATCAACCTGAGTTACAAATCATCTTCATCATTTAAACGTTATGCTAAATATGTTAGTATTTCAGTAGGCACATAGATACAAATTATTTAGTTTCTAAGATATCAGTATTCCCTTTATGTAAACAAAGAAACCGTTAAATTCCTTAGAATGATAGTCATCATAATTAGACCATTATTTATTTGGCTAGATGATGAATTTTTTTATTTTTTTAATAAAATTTTATAAATATGCCAAGATATTGTTTTTTTTGTACAAAATTAATGCTTCGTTTTATTTTTTAAAATAGAAGTTGATAAATATTTTATCCGATGAAATATTGTGAACTGTTATGTTATCTCTCTCGAGCGGAATTTTTATATTATGGTGTGAAAGCATGTTTTTAGTGTATAGCTGTAGATAGTGATTTACATTTTATTTGATCAACTTATATGATCATTTGCAATGGTGCAGGTAGATCCACTCCTTGTGTTCTCCTAAATTTTAATCTTTTGAATTCTTCATGTCCCTTTATTCCTGTTTCCAAATTTATTTCACTGGATTATACTCCTTGAGTAACATCTTCAAACCCTAGTCTTTCCGATTACTACTTTCACTTTTGCTACCTCTACTACTATGGGATTTGAATAGACAACTGTATTTCTGTGCTAATGTGGTATGGCCACTCGAACTGATGTACGTATGTACGAAGTTCTACATTGTTGCTGACTGACTGACGATTCTAGTACTTGAAAATATAGCTAATAATTGGCTAAGGTTGATAAATAATTTTTAATAACAATTTTTATCCTTACTCAGAATGACTCCTAATGAACAGCATATTTTGTCAAAACTCAATACATGGGTAACACATCTACTTGCATTGATTCAAATAATATCTGATATAGATATATATATCTTTACAGAAAAAGAAAATCTATGCATTCAAGAGAACCTCAATAGTAATTTAATTGGTAGAGCAAACATTATTCAAATTCTTATGTCTTTTAAACCATTCACTAAGTTAACAAACGAATTTTATTTGCATTAATAATATCTTGAATGTGATCAAATGAACTAAACATAGGTGGTTTGATTCTAGTGAAAAGTATAATCCAATGACTGACTGATTCAGTGATTTCCGCAAAACAGAACGGTGTTTACAAAGTGTTTGTATAGAAAACTATCAGTAGGAACAATAAACGTACTTTCAAACGAATATGCATATTGAAAGTTTGGTGACATTAATATTTAACAGTAAAGGAAAATCAATTTTTAAGTAATGAGGCTACCATACTTAGACCTTTCATAAATAAATAAACGCTTATGAGTCAGATATGAAACTCGATTCAAATTATTTAATCGATTATTGAAGGTTGTCCATATAGTTAAAAACTGCGCTCGAACTAAATCACTTTCAAAAATGTGTTTGCTTTCATTTAGTAATGAATCACAGCTCAATCATAAATTTTTCTTCATCTCAGTAATGAAAATAAGAATGAATAAATAAAATTGGTTTTAAAGAAATATAAATATTTCTGAAGTGGGAAAGAAGGCGAACATTCATATATTCTATGGTTATCTATGAGTTGAACATAGATGATCCTTAGAATGATAAATTTTGTTAATAGGTGGATTGTTTGTCTGACTGTTGATCAGATATACTATTAAAATGTAGCGTCAGTTATGTGTTACTTAATGAAGGGATGATAATGTATTGAATATGGCAGCATGTATTCATAAAATACATCATTATAATGTTTACTCACCATACCTTAATTACATCAGCGTTGTTAAGCGTTGATCTTGTTGAGTCTAATGACCACTTCCTTATCTTCCAAAATCTATATTATGGTTATGTCCTGGAGATTCAGAATATTCCTCAAAAAAAGCCCTGAGAAAGCTGGAAAACATTTTATCCAGTTAACATTGAATAGAATTTTCGCAGAAACATCTAGTAAGTAAGGAGTCCGATGAGATGACAGCCTATCATTTTACTATGTTTTGCAGCGCTCCGGAACTTTTCGAAAGCCCATGGCCGTCTGAAATGCTATAAATACCCTAAATAAAATGCACACAAATTAACCTTGGACTAAGGCGTTCTTTCCATATTTCGAGTCCTCATTCTCGTGTTTAAGTTGTCGTGTAGATTTAGCCTGTTAGCTATAGAACAGCTTAAGAAAGCAATTCAAGCGTTCAGTTAGAAGATTTATCAGTTTACAGACATTTTACACTACTTATTATCTATATTTTTCAGTAAGAATACTCGATTTTCATTGTCAATAAAAGTATGTCATTAAAAAATACATGAAAGAACTTGTTAATTATATTTACAAAATCAGAAAAGAGTTTTTGTGGATATTATAGTATTTTAATAATTGAGTTCATGAGTCAATTGAAACTAGACCACCATAGAAAACCTGGAAGTAGTGGACGGCCGTTTTGTCCTGATGTGAAACTCCTCAACAGTGCGTATATATTATGTATATTAAAAGCTTTTCGTTCTAATATGAATATTATCATCATTTCAACATTTATTATTGTCTTCCATGTGATGATAAAAGTTTCTGTTTTAGTATTAATCTCATGAATTATTATTCACGTTTCGGTAAAATCAATGTTTGATTCTGTACTATTATATACTTTGACTATGTTGCGTAATAGAAAAATACTATTTGATACATAATTGTAAACATTTCTGGACAATAATTCAATAAACATTTAGAAATAGAGTAGTTACTTTAACGTTCTTAGGAATTTCTACTTTATACTAAGTTAAAGCTTATGCTATGTGAAACATAAAACGCCTCATTAGGTATTAACATATGACAGTAATAAATCATTTATTTTTTAAATTCATTTTGTATTGTTTGTTCGGATCTTCACATTGATGTTGACGACTGCAATTGAATAAGTCTCTTTTCGGCATATATGCATCCTGTCCGGATTGTCTCGATATTACCTTAACTCACAAGCATTATAAGCAAAGATGGACGGTGGCTAGCAGTGAAATTCAGGACTCAGGTCGATGATAAAGCTAAATAAAAAATAGGGAAAATTGACACTCTGTTGTTTTGCCATGTAGTTACAAAATAAGTAGATTTTACTTATGTTTTGTCGCTTTCAGAATTGTTGAACTTGATAAACAACAATATAAAATTTCTGGAATACATATGAATCGATTATAATCATTTTATTTTTAAACTCAAATATATTTTCCTTAATTGTCAAACGAATTGTACTTTAAACGGCGCCAAACTACTTCCTATCTAACAAAATGATTTAAAACTTTCAATAAATACATAAATGTTACGATCAAATTATCACTGGTCAATATGGTACAATAGCATACTAGTAATTATAAACCTGATGTTTAATTTTTAATATCCAACACATACTGATATCACGCTACAAGTCTTTGGAATCCAGAGTTTAATTAATGAATTTAACGCCAAATCATAAGACTTCATAATGGTGCAAATTTACGATTTTATACTCAATAAAACTTAGAATCATAGTTTATAAATGTGCTATGTTGAAATCTCTTGATGAAAATATCTCTATCAACATTGACGATGATTTATCAGGTCACAGCTTCAGAATATTTATTTCGAGGAAGTTTCAAGTAGTAGTGATAGGTGTACAAGTTAATCACTGTTTTTAAGACACTGCATGATAGTACTTCTAGCGACGTGAATTAAATGGCGATGTTCGATACAAGAAAACAAAAATGGATTTTTTACTTTGGCGTAGACGAAAATAAAAATAACTCATAAGCAGTGATTGGTGGTGGCTAGCAGCAGAATGATTGTGATTTAAGGTAATATCGAATCCATCCATACAAGATGTATATATGCCAATAAAAGATTGATCAACTGTGGTCCTAAACATCAATAGGAAGATTCAAACAACCAATATACAAATAACATAGTTTATTAAAATAAGCAAATCGATTGCATTGAGATCGATTGGGCGACGGAAGTTATCTAGCATTTCAAAATTTGATCGCGTTTGTGGAGATTTGATGCTGATGAACATTTTGTACAGTTTTTGATGTCAGAGAAATGCATTTAAGTCACAAGTGAATTGTAACGATTCAAATCAGATAAGAGTCCCAAAATCATTTAATTATATAACCAGCACTTCGGAGAATAATTTATTTAGGATTATTTTGAGTACGTGACTCTTCTAAATAACCTTTTTTGCTTGATTATTTATGTCCAAAGGTTTACAAAGTTCATAAAAGTGTACAGTGATACTTTTTCGTATATCGAATGACAAGGCTTTAAACATCGTGTAGGAATAGACGAACTAAGAAGTTCTCGTTAACTTTTCACTTCAAATTACATACTAACTAATAAACTACAACAGATTTGAGATAAAACCTTAAAACATTTGGACAGTTATTTTATTATTCAACCCTACCTCACCGTTTGTGATTTACTAGTTTGTACATATAAACATAACTCGTGCTGGATCAGACAAACGAAACAACAATCAGTAAGTTATCTAATTTGTTCACACATTTTGAAGTTTCAGTAGTAGTAGTAGTAATAATTCGTAATTCGTGAACCAATGAAGCGCCAAGAGAAAGTTACGCATATATATATTTATATAGACTGGATTTGGAACTTGGATGAGACATGCAAACCAGTTCCGTAACGATAAAATAATAATGAACACAGAAAACATTGCCATTAAAAGCCCGCTCGATATATTTGTGAAGACGTTTCAAGCAATCTCAGTCAACGACAAAACTCAAAGAAACAGATGAGTTTAGAGATGGATGAATATAACACATAAAGATAGGGCGTCACAATGAACCTGTCATAACGTTGTAGATGGACCCAAAAATAAATTCTTACTCTCCTTGATAGTAGAGGGGTTAGAAGCCTTCAGTATTTGTTAGAAAGTGTTCAAAAGCGATGGAAACGCTGCAAAGACTGTGTTCAATATGGGTCCGTTTTCTGCCTTTGTAGTCTATCTTACATCATGAATTCTGGCTTACTAACGACTAGTTCTATTACGGGATATAGAGGGGTAAGGCGAATGATTTTAAATCGTTATAATAACACAACTTAAGTTTGTTTAATAAAATAGATCTTTGACATAAGACAAAATCAAAAATATAATTTGGTAAATCCATTAAGCATACTTAATAATCTCCTAAAACTAATTGTTGTGTTAGAAGGTAAGGCAAATACAATAGCTAGAATAATTTTAAGTTTTGAAAATAAGTTATATGAATATTCACCCAAAATTTGAAACAAACGTTTGGTTGGTATATGGTAAATTTTAGTAACAATTGAAATTTTGAGTTCAGTCAGTGAGATTATTACAAACATAAGTATTATGTCGAATACTTTCATGTGTTTATATTCATTAATTTAATCCTTCAGTAAAAATATATGTATAAAGTTTTCGATTAAGATAATGAATCGATCAATATTAGACCACCATTAAAAACCTGGAGGTATTGATCTGTTGTTTCGTCCCAGTATGGGACTCCTCAATATTGCGCATCCACAATCCCGTACACGGGATGTATAATTATGATTCATGGTTTCAAAATAATATTTCATATATATTCATATACTTTCAAATGTATGGATTTTTATCAGAAAAAAATGTAGATAAACATTTTCTTGATTAATTAAGGATAGACGGCAGTTCATCCGGATAAAATAAGTCTGCTAATTATCATTCATTCTTATCTATAGACTGTGAAAATGAATTTACTATTTTTAATTTATTATGAATAAAAAATACAGAATTGATAAGAAACCAATTAGAAACTATCAGGTCATCAGAAAATTGTTGACTTGTAGTTGAAATACTATAAATTAATACGAAATACTGAGTTAAATATGATTTTCTAATTGTTTACAAACGTTAAGTGAGTACTTTGAAATTAATCTAAGCTCGATAATATATATATCCTTTCTTTATTTATATAAACACATAAACATAGGTACAAGAAAGTGCCAAATAGATATGCGCTACATAAATTATTCGATTTGCGTGAGGGCTAGGATACTGCCAGGGTGCTCAAACTGAAGCAGGTGGCTTTCTTAGGGGACTACACCAGGAGCCTTCGACCGAAAGGTCTGATCCACAAGGCAGTAGAGCAACGTCAGGAAATTCAGTAACGTGGTAGCCGGTGACCAACAATTGGTTCATACGCCATTTGTTTCCTTAGGATCCTGGAGCCCATGTGCACCATTGGTTTGGAATCAGTGTTTTCCAACCCCCTTATGTAGATCCTCCATATTCATCAACCCATTTAAAGAGTCGGACATTCGCTTTTCGTTCTCTCAATTTTGTAAATAACACCCTCGCCTAGAGAAAACAGTGAGTGGGAGTTCCCTGGCAGTGCTTGTTTGCACGTGGCTATGTGACAGCATTTTGAGAGGGAGAGTTGACTCTCCTCACTGTCGGCCGTACTAGGGCATTTGAGGGCATATATTCTTCCAATTATGGATTATAATACATCAACTTTATGTAATGTTATTATGAACTGTCAATTAATGCTTTAGAGTACTGTACTCAATATAAAATGGAAAGAAACATAACATTTGAGCTTTACACAGTCTTATTTTTCATTTATACAGTCTAAGTAACAGTGTGTGGACATTCATTTTAACGTCAGTTATAATCATGTTAATAGAATGTTATTTATGTGATATTATTTAACACATCTAAAGTTTCTTCTGTTCAGTTAAAAAAAGATTGACTTAAACGAAAAATGAATGATGAAATTTGTGCAGTGTAGATGGTCTTGAGTAGTATATTTCGAAATTTTCACAATTAATGATGCCGGCTCAGTGGTCTAATGGTTAAGTGTTCGCGTGAGTTACTGATAGGTCCTCAGTTCAAATCTCGCGGGCGGCGAGGTCGTGGATGCGCACTGCTGAGGAGTTTCATACTAGGACGAAATGGCCGTCCAGTGCTTCCAGGTTTTCCATAGTGGTGTAGCTTCAATTGACTCATAATTTCAACTAGTGAAATGATGATTGTTTGATTTTCATATCTATTTATGATAGGATTATAATAAGAATTCGATTAACAATTATTTTGCTTGAATATGGAATGATTGACCAAGATTTTAAAATTTTGATCATTCTTAACTAATCAGTGATAATTAAAATAACCCATAATGTCATTGAATAAAAAAAGAGAATTCAGCGAAGAAAATTTTCTTTTTGACGAAATCATTTATCTAAGCTGTGCATTCGTATATATAGTTATATGGAAAATGTATGTCCATATACCTATATATACATGAATGTACAGCTTAAGTAAATGATTTTGTCAAAAAGAAAATTTTCTTCGCTGAATTCTCTATTTCTTATTCAATAATCAGTGATAATAATATCCCATACCAGCAATAATTATATGTGTTGGTGCCATACTCTAAGAATAGTGATAGAAAAACTATTTGTAATTTCTCATAATTCTTTGATTAAATCTTGAAAATCCTGGTGAATTTGAGCTCACGTATTAGTTTAACATTAATCTAATATGTACTAAAATTTTAGATAAATAAATAACCTATCCGACGTAATACTTTAGTAGCCAGAAGCTGAACTCTACATATTCAGTACCTAATGATGATCACGTCTCAAATATGCCAAAACATTTAGGTTTAATTTTCAATAAATTTATACAAATATCCTAATCATCCTTTTATTTTTTAAATTGCTTTATTTTTCGTTAGATCAAACAAAAACAAAAAAAGAAATGTCTGAAGAAATGTTACTGAATTTGTTCTCTAGACTGGATAAAAGTGGTGATGGTATACTCTCAATAGAAGAATTAAAACAAGGATTACGATCATCAGGAGTTACAGAGAACGTAGTAAATGTAAGTTTATTTTATGTAAACAGTTTTAATTATGCAATTATTATTTTATGGTTATCATATATATGTATGAATATCTTCATCAAACTTTTCAAATGATACCAAACAGACAATAGTCGATTTATTTTAGCTATTGTGTTGATACTATATTTAATCCTTAGTTCAGTCCATTTAGACTTATTTAGCAAACATTTATATTTTTAAAATTATTGTTTAGTAAGAATCCAAACCCTTTATAAACATCATTTGATATATTGGTTTGATTGACTTGGTAATACAAAGTGCATTACTTTAAGAAACGGATGTTTGAACATGAAGTATAACTCGTTGTGACATTGAGATACACATCACAATAAAACAAATTTACTTATCTTCAACTTGAAAGAAAGCCTCACTTTTATTTTCAAACTATCATTGAATACTGATAAGTTCGAGCTGAGATTTAACAACGGTAGTGTCTAATTCTTATCGTGCAACTGAAATGAATGTCACTCATTGTCACACTGACTTATTTTAATAGTAGATCCGTTTCTGTAGAATCAAACCGACTGAAATGACTCTGTGATCAATTATTATAATTCAAAATATTTATAAAAGTATATCCATGTTAAAATGTTTCGATTTGAAAAGAGACTATCTTTACTGATTCACAGTCAGTATATCGCTCGTACACGTTGAATGAGTTCAATCTTTTATCAAAATGTATATATATATATATATATATATATATATATATATATATATATATATATATATATATATATATATATATATATACATATAATTGACTGAATTCTTCCAATTAATTTGTAGAAACTTATAGAAAAGCTCGATTTAAATTTTGATAGTAATATTACATATGAAGAATATATACAAGCTATACGTCATGGAAATAAATAAAATAGAATCCCTTATTTTTCTAATACGCCTATTCAGAATACAACAATGTATTGTATTGTACAAGATACTTTATTAACTATTTCAAAGCTATTAAATTAATTATTGAAATATACCAATTTTTATCCTACCATTGTAGCTTAGTGTAATTAATGTATGCTTGAATGATATATATATAAGATGATTTTATTGAATAAAAATAACTTCTGATGAATTGTTTCTAGTTTTTCAAAGAACTACTCAATGTATGTTATTTTATAATAAATATTGATTTATTAAATGGAATCATTTCCTATTCAACTAAATGAACTATGAATACATTTAAACAATGGAAATACTAATAGGGTCAAACAATTATGAAGTAATCATCATGAAATCAACTGATTTAAAAAAAATCTATCAAAATATGTAATGTTCTTTATTCAAGTACCACAGTATGAAGTTATTGTGTCTTCATCGTTTATGACTATCATGTTACTTACCAAAGTTTGAATGGAGTAGAAGATGAGTTAAACACGAAATTTCATGACCCCTTTCAGGAAATCAAGGTTTCAAATGTAGTAGTCGTAACTAGCAATTTTAACATTAAAGTCGATAAGCTAAGTCATAATGAAAAACACATTCATGTGTCTTATGGATTTCAAGCTTGTAATGGCTTAGTTTCGTTAATCAATCACCTTGATAACCGTTATTATATAAATCCCAATAGTGTTTGAAATCAAAAGGTAATAAGAAGCGGCGACTACAGTTTATTTGTGGATAACACGAATCACAAAGCTACAAGCACATCGAGCGAATGTGAAGCAGGGGCGAATATGTAGGCTAGCGAATACAGTGGCAAATTTATAGTTAAATCGCATAAGGGCACAGTAAGGCAAACCAAAGGCTAAAAATTGAACTGGAGTGTATACATACATGGAAAAGAAAGTGATTCATCGAGCGATATATTTAAGCTATCAACATTTAAGCTAGAGAGATTTGCGTAGGTTATCATGTAATCAGGCGTACACGTTAATACAGACAAGATAGTGATCATAATAGTACAAGGAAATATGCGAATTGTTCCCGTTTGAATAACATTGTCTTTTAAGGAAGTTTATAAAAGTGCTCAAAAAAATTTAACCATAATTGAAATTGAATGTAGATAATAGTGAACGTCTTCTGCAATTTTTTATCAAGTCCACATATCGCGAATAAAGACATATTTAACCTGACAACTTCAACACCAATACAAAGTTGGACACAAATATAATATGCTGCCAGCATTCTAAAACGAGGGCGCCAACAGATCCAGATAGATTATCCACCAAAATGGTTGATGAAAGTGGTCCGATCCAAGTTGTTGAGATGTTAGCGAGAGTCTGGGCACTTAACGTAATCCTATCTGAATTGACTCAAACTCTGGTCATCCGAGTTTGTAATAAATAGCCAAAAACCCTATTGTACCAATCACACAAGAATCAGTCTGACTAATTTTGTGTCCAAAATATTAGTGTCATTTATGATCCAGTGCCAATATAGGGCTCATGAAGAGCAGACACGAAAAACGCAATAACGTATGTCATTGAGAAGCGTAAAAACACAGGTACTCCTAGTCAAGTTAGAGTTTGCAACGAACTGTCACCAGAAATATCAATACCAAGTAGCGTTCGTCAGTAATGCCCACTATTCCCATTTTTACTTAAATTTGTCATCGATAACCTCTGGACAATAACTTTCTATTGGACTAACATTTCGGAAATCGATCTCAAAAATAAGAGGTTTACTAATGGACTCGGAATGCGCGTATAATGTAATCGCCTTTGGTGAAGACTGATAAAATACTGAGTCTTCCAATCACCTTCAGCAACAATGCAAATAAGTTAGATATGCCTTACTCTTCCTCTCAATAAAAAATAATACTTCTCAACTGATTTGCCCTAACAAACTAACTAGTGATAGAAAGTGAAGTAGTTGAGTGTGCCAATAATTTCACCTTAATGTATAGTCTCATCAGTCATGATTGACTGGTGTCTGACAAAATCATGTATGCAGAGGTCTGTGTTTGGCTTTTGCTATTTGCATCACTTGTACCATAGGTGAGTTGTCAACCGAAAAACGAGTTTTCTGAGTGAAAGTTCAGGATTTTCTACCTGATGGGTGTCGAACCTGACTGTTGAGAAGAAGGGATAATCCTAGACTAGTACTATTCGATAATGTGTGTTTTCGAAACATCGATCATGTTTGATAGAACCACCTTAATAGCAATACTGAAATGTGGAATGATGCACTGACTGAAGATAGAGAATCGGTTGACGAAGTGGTGAATTGTGATCGAGTGAGTTGGTTTGGACATGTGTTGCATATACTTAATCAATATGCATCTCGGTGAGTGATGTTGTCTGTCGTCGGACTAGGTTAGGTGAAAGATAGTGGATTGGACAAATGAAGACATGACATCAGTTCGTGATGTCGTTGACTGCTGCACTGAGTCATATAAATAGATGCCGACATCTTGATTTGATGTTCATGTTATCCTCACAACCAATGGTTTGAGATATTGTGTGATAGTAACAACAACCAATAAACGAGTACTGTTGAAGCCGTCACAATTTCCGTTTCAAATATACCTGCTTATATCGAGAGCATTCAGTGTTTCACTCGAACAATCATTCGTGATTCATTCTTTTACTATCATAAACTAACAGACATATTATATACACATGATAATTAAACGTTTGAATTGTTGTTAACGAATGGTACAAGTTTGGAGTTCGAGGTTGAATATTTACGCTGGAATGCAACTACATCCTGCTAACGAGTATAAAACAGGACGAAATGTGCCTCCTGGATTTCACTACCAGTCATCATCCATCTCTGCCCTGTAGTATTATTGATAGTCTTGAAATTACGATCTGATGATTAGTATAATGACTGGATAGTATATTCGTTAATACAGTTGACTGTATGATGATATGAAATGTGAATGATTTTTTGATCGAATTTCTAGTGTCCACTTCATTGAAATTTTAAGATCTGAATAATTTATTTGTCTTAATGTAAAAGTAAAACCGAACATCTAATCGTATATATTAATATAAAAGAATTTGAGATCAAACTAATTGAGCAAATAATCACATCATAATATTAAATGATCAGCTTAAACATAATAAGGTTAAATATTAAGAAAATATAACTTTATAACAGAGCCAAAGAAAACGAAATCACTATTGAAAGAAATCTAGTAGAAAATTGTATCATCCTGTTCTAAGAACATACAAAGTATTATTCTTAAAGTGATTATTTATTAGAAAATATTTAACCAAAAAAGGATATGGTCTATGATTTATGTTGAGATTTGTTTCTCTTAATATATAACATTCTAATAACCATCTATTCATAATCAATGATTCAACTATACAAAGATGTCTGTGAATAATCAACTTCTTCCAGTTTGTTTGTTTTTCAAAACAAAATTCTACGGATACTGTGATTATTCTATTGGATTTTACCAAGTTACTAATGGTTTAAATGTAAATGGATAACCGATAACAAAATATCACAGGCTAAATTATACTCTGCCAAACTAATATCGTCTGATTCTATGTAATGATAATATGTATTATAGAATACTTTATGAAACACACACATACACAAAAAAACTCATTAAAAATTTACATTCATTACAAAAACATAGTTACTTTTGTTGTGTACTAAACATAAACCTACAAATTCTGTAATTTGCTTTATATCTATGATAAACTGATAAAATATTACCTTCACAATCGTATATGAATATTATCTTTTAACTGATGTGTATATTTTTGACTATTACTTCTTTTGGCTTTAAAAGTTTTAAATATACATTCACATATGATAACTAAAAGTGAAACAATAATACTGATGAAATAATCACAGTATCATTCGATCAAAAAGTCTATGTTCAATAATTAACAGCTATTATGTAACGTTCATATATAAACGATATATATTATTGGTTGGTTCTATTTTAAAGCATTTAAACGAATTAACTTCGTATAAATGCAGAATAAACTGATGTATGAAATATGAGGTAGAGAAATTCACATAACTCAATGAACGATAAGACTAATGACATGTTTAAATTTTATACAGTATCTGAAAACCATAACTGCTTTCTAACCAAAACGCTCTTTTTATTGTTTACATAATAAATAATTAGGAAAGCTAATTAGATAGATAAAAAGACAATTTAGAAAATGATCAGTAAACAATTAACATATTTAGTATAAGGTATTGTCGAAATGTGTGAACTTTATTGTTCAAATCGCTGATCGATCATAGCTAGACAACTAATGAAATTAAAAGATTACTGGTTAGATATTTCATAGTAGTATGAGACTTTTCAATAGTGAACAACCACCACTCCACCAGAGATCGAAACCAGGACCTTGAGGTCTCGTAACAAATCCTTAACAGTTAAATCATTGAATTAACATGCAATGGTTCCCATGACTAACTTGAATCAGTTGGTGATATTACACAATCTCCTTCCATTACATTCGGTGAGTAATCGCTTCATATATATATTTAGTCCATTGGTCATCATCAACGTATCATCTATCACTATCACTTTATTTAGTCACACCTCACATCTACGCAATCAGAGGAAATAAGTAGGATGAGAAGTAGGAGTCGGGCGTTAATAGCGATATTGGTGGAAATTTAAAAATGAGTGATATAATTTGAAATTAACGAGATCTATCTCAAAATGTATATCACGATAGAAGTAACTGCATTACTCATTCTTCACAATTACTGATGACTAATATTTCATTGATCTCAGACGAAATGTTTAAAGCAATAAACATGGTTTAATCATTGTAAGGGCCATGACTTAGTCCTCTTAACATTATTGACGTATCACATGTGTTAATTTGTATTCGTCTGACTTCAGAATCCAAACATGGTGATTCACAAATTTAGTGTTACCGTTCATTGAACTTTCTTAAAATCATTACCTTCTTATCATTTCGTATCGTTAC